GCGCTGCCACGGGTTTGTGTAAGAGTATGAGCTCAGATTCTTAAGCTTGGCTACTTTTTCTTTTTCGGTCACACCCAGCGATGCTCAGGGGTTACTTCTGGCTCTGCACTCATGGCAGTGCTTGGGGGACCATATGGGATGCCGGGGATTGAACCCAGGTCAGCTGCATCCAAGGCAAATGCCCTACCCACTCCAGCTCCAACTTGGCTACTTTTTATCGAGCACTTGTTGCTTACTGGAACCTAGGCTGATAAGCCTTTCGTGTATATCATTTGATCTCCTCAAACAGCACAATCAAGTTGAAGTTTTTTTTTTTTTTCTCTTTGGGTCACACCCGGCAATGCTCAGGGGTTACTCCTGGCTCATGCACTCAGGAATTGCTCCTGGCGGTGCTCAGGGGACCATATGGGGTGCTGGGAATCGAACCTGTGTCGGCCATGTTGGCTGCGTGCAAGGCAAACGCCCTACCCGCTGTGCTATCGCTCCAGCCCGTTTTTTTTTTCTCCTTTGGTTTTTTTGGGTCACACCCAGCTGTGTTCAAGACTTATTTCCAGGGGGAACTCAGAGGACCATTTGTGGTGCTGGGGTTCAAACCCAGGTCAGCTGTGTGTAGTGCAAGCACCGTACCCACTGTACTCTCTCTCCAACCCAAGCTGAAATTTTTGACATTGGAGACAGTCTGTCACTGTCACTGTCGTCCGTTGTTCATCGATTTGCTCAAGTGGACCCAGTAACATCTCCATTGGAGACTTTGTTGTTACTGTGTTTGGCATATCGAATACATCACGGGTAACTTGCCAGGTTCTGCCGTGTGGGCGAGATACTCTCAGTGGTTTGCCAGGCTCTCCGAGAGGGGCAGAGGAATCGAACTCGGGTCGGCCATGTTGACTGCATGCAAGGCAAATGCTCTACTGCTGTGCTATCGCTCCAGCCCCCGGAGACAGTCTATTTTTTATTTTCTAATTCAGTAGCCACCAACTTTCTGTGGTTAAAGGGCATTTGAGATACAGGTAGATAAATAATTTAACATTTTTGTCTGATGTTGATTTAAATTTCAGTGACCACATGTGGTTGGTAACCACTGTATTAAACAGCTGAACTCTAAACAATCTTTTTAACCCATTTTACAGATGAGAAAAAGTAAGAGTTCAGGGTTCATTGACTTAAAAGGCTCCCAGCTGTGCAGTAACAAAACTCAGCCCTGTCCTCTGTTCCTGCCTGGTCACACTCTGTGTGTGCTTTTTGCAGGAATTGTTTCCTGATTACAGAGTTTCATAACTTATAATACCTTGTGTATATATGCAGTCTATCTGAAAATTAATATACAAGAGCTAAAGTAACATCAAAAGGGATGTGTGTGTGTGTGTGTGTGTGTGTGTGTGTGTGTGTATGGCACTACCAGGGGTATTTTGTGAGCACAGAGCCAGGAGTAAACCCTTGAGCTTTGCCAAGTATGGCTTCAAAAAAAACCTGAGCAAATGAGGCAGGGAACTCCATGTTTCTAGACAGGAAAACTCAAATATCATATTATTTTCCCACCCAAATAATCTCTGGATTCAGTGTAATTCTACCGCAAATTCAAAAGGGAATTGTGATGAAATTTTTTGTTTGTTTTGTTCAGAGGCCATCACCAGTGGTCAAACCTGGTCTAATCTAGGTCCCCTGTGTGCAAAGCATGCACTCAGACCTTTGAGCTAGCCCCCTAAGCCCCTGTAATGAAACTTGATTCTAAAGGCGTGCCTCAGGCCAGGGAGAATGGTCAGGGGCTGGAGAGCATGCTTCCCATGCAGGATCCCTGAGTTCAATCCCTGGCATCCAGTGGCCCCCAGACACTACCAGGGGTGTCCCCCAAGCCCTGAGCCAGCAGTGGTTCTCAGCACTTCCAGGCATCACCCCAGAACCAACATGAATAAATACAATTACTACTTAAAAAAACTAATGGTACTGTTTTTCACCTATTGGACTGGCAAGAATTAGATTTAAAATGTCTAACATTGGTGGGAAAACATATATGGTGGGAATACAACTAGATCCAACATTTTATTTTTTTAAATTTTTTTTTCCTTTTTTGGGGGGGTCACACCTGGTGATGCACAGGAGTTATTCCTGGCTCTGCACTCAGGAATTACTCCTGGTGGTGCTTGGGGGACCATATGGGATGCTGGGAATCGAACCCGCATTCGGCCGCGTGCAAGGCAAACGCCCTGTCCTCTGTGCTATTGCTCCAGCCCCTAGATCCAACATTTTAGAAGGACAAATGAACCCATCCAAATAGGAAATATATCCTTCACTCTGTAGTTCTACTCAGATCACTCCAGTATGGAAAACACACTTGAGAGTCATGACATTCATTGCATTATGTGTAATCTCAAAGAATTGAAGGCAATGACCATGACCTTTAATGGTTAAAATATGATTTATTGTGTTCTAGAATACATTGTGGCTATGGAAATGATCATGGTTCTCTTTGTAGTGATACAGAAGTATGTACATTTGATCTATTTTTGAATTAAGGGAATTCAGATTTTAGAACAAGTAAAGCACGATCCTATTTCACTCCTCCCCCCTTGCTCCCAAATCTGTGCACAGGAAAAGTTTGGGAGAATTTGGGGCTGGAGGATAGTACAACTTGCATCCCACATGGTCCACCGAGAACTGCTAGAGTAACTCCTGAGTGCAGACCCAGGAGTAAACCCTGAGGATCTCTGGGTTTCCCAACATTCACCCCCCCACCCCAATAACCATATTATTACAGAATACAGTGAGGAATCTCTGTCACTCCTAGATGCCTTCACTAAATATTAGGGGTCTGGAGAGATAGTACAGTGGGGAGGCCTCTTGACTTACATGCGGCCGACCCAGGTCTGATCTTTGGCACCCCATATGGTCCTCTGAGCACTACCACTAGGAGTCATCCCTGAGTACTTCTGGGTTCCCCCCAACCCCACCCAGCAGAAAAAAAGTAAATTGGAAAAAATGAAAAATAGAAAGTAAATCAAGTCAGGGATGGCTTAGTGGGAATGCAGCTGCCTTGCAAGCACGAGGCCCCTAGTTCCATCCCTGATCCCCACCAGGCTGGGTGGGGGCCTGGCAGCACACAACTGAGCATATGAATGCTGAGCCCATATGGAAGGGTGGGAGCCCCAGTTGTAACTGTAACAGAGGAGGCAGGAGTGAACCAGCAACTTTGAAGTTGTCCGAGGTTTTGAACTGATATGGTGGGTATGGCTAAACCTATAATCAAGAAAAGGATTATGCCTCTGGTTTAGCTTTTTCCTTACTAAGGTCATTATCTGAGGTTCTGGTCTTGAGCTAGCTCCCAGGGCTGGAATACAGGCTTTGCATGAGGAGGTCTGGATTCGATCCTTGGCACTACACTAAGCACCTCTGGGTGTGGCCCCCAAACAGAAGACTCTTGTCTCAGGTTTACCTTTATTTAATTTTTTTTCTTTTTGGGTCATACCTGGCGATGCACAGGGGTTACTCCTGGCTCTGCACTGAGGACTTATTCCTGGCAGTGCTGGGGGACCATATGGGATGCTGGGAATCCAACCCGGGTCGGCCGCATGCAAGGCAAATGCCCTACCCATTGTGCTATTGCTCCAGCCTGCATGAAAGCTTGTAACTATCTCACGGTGATTCAGTAAAATTAAGAAAAAAAAAAAAAAGAGGGTAGTGGGATGCCTGACAATCGAGTACTTGCATGTGTGAGGCCCTGAACTCCCTATGTCCACCACCACCAACACACACACACACACACACACACACACACACACACTTTCAGCATTGTGACTCTCTCAAAATCATTCCCCCTGGGACTTGGCTGTGCTGGCCTCTCAGGAGGGAGAGTGGACCCCTCCGGCCAGGGCTTTCTCTGGCCTCCAAGAAGAGAGGCTATTTTTGTTGCGGGGGCTGAATGGCTGGCGTCTCGCCAAGAGCACGTGCTCCTGCTGTGGTTGGGGTGCCCTGTCCGCTGCTGCTGTCCCCTTCCACGGCTCCCAGAAAACGCTTGAGAGCAGGTTTGTCTGGCGCCCAGGGCTTAAACCTGAGACCTGGGCGCAGGGCAGCCCCCTCTCTGGGTGTCCCCCCTGCCCGTCTGGCATCAGAGGGGCAGAGGGTGAGCAGTGGGAAGGCCTTTTCTCCTGGTGCTGAACCTGCCTGTTAATGGTGGCCGCAGATGACTCACGTGTCTTCACTCAGCTGACACTGACCTCATCAACCCTGGTGTCCTGGTGGACGGGCGGGCAGGGCTGGCCCAGGGCTGCAGTTCCAGTTCATCTTGCTGCTTACCCAAATCTCCTTTTTGCAATCTGTTAGCCTGGGAACAGTGTCCTTCTCGGCACAGGGTGACAGGAGCCTGGCTTCTACCCAGACCCACAGCCTGCCTGATCAAGTTCCTTAGGCAACTCCACTGACCCATGCCACCCCCAGACAAGAGGCCTTAGGGCAGGTGCCTGAAATCCGTAGCAAGGGGCAACTCCAGGGGGCTGTGGGCTGCCCAGAGCTCTGGGGTGTGTTTGTTTTTGTTTAGGGCCACATCTGGCAACGCGCAGGGATCACTCCTGGTGGGGCTCAGGGCATCATATACAGGGCTGGGAATCGAACCCAGGCTGTGCACGTGCAAGGCAAACCCCCTTCCCCGCTGTGCTATCTCTCCAGCTCCCGGGCAGGGGTTCTTGATTGAAAAAGAGGCCCTGGAGTTGAGGCCTGGTACCCCTTGAGAATCACTCATGGATCGTGATCCCTTCCCAACCGCCTGGTGGTCCATCGTGCATAGCGCTTCGGGCTGCTTCTTGGGGGCTCCGCTTTAAGCCCGTGTTCTTTGCTGCCCTGACCCCTGCCAAGCAGGGCAAGCAGCCAGCATGAGCCGGAGGTGGTGGGGGTCTTCCCAGAGCCTCCCCTGGGCTGACTGGGTATCTCCGCTGCCATGGGTTTGCAGCGGCCCTGCCTCTTGATTCTCTCTCGTGATCGGGCTTTTGTGGGGTTGCTGTTCCCTTCAGCTGCAAAGCTACTTTGCTGCGTGTGAGGATGAGACCCCTGCCATCCGGAACCACGACAAGGTCTTGCAGCGTCTGTGTGAGCACCTGGACCACGCCCTGCTGTATGGGTAAGGGGGCACTGGTGCCGGGAGGGTGCCAAGAGCCGCACAGAGTGTGGCGGGGGACCCCGGCAGCCTCCCAAGTGAGGGGCCTGACCTCTGTCGGCCTTTTATGTCTTCTCTCTTTGGCAGAAAGGGATCTGTCTCCCTCAGCGGGGGCCACAAGCTCTGTAGTTGTCCCCAGTAAATCATCTCGTCGGGCAGACGTTACCGGGGGCAAGAATTAGCTACCATCGGGGGCAGATAGATAGTACTGAGGGTAAGGTGCTTGCTCTGCACATGGCTGACCCGAGTCTGATCCCCAGCACTCTAGGCATCAAATCCAGGGCCGCCTGAATCCCGCCAAGAGGGATCCCTGGCACAGAGCCAGGGGTAAGACCTGAGCACTGCCTGGTGGGGCCCAACAACTACCCCCCCAAAAAAAAGTTAGCCACAGGAGTACTGGTCTGGTGGCAGCCTCTCGGTCCTGCTGGAGCTCCACGCTGCCATGAAGGCTGGTGGACCAGCGGGCTGCAGTTTCCCAAGGGGCCCTGGGAGATCCTGGAAGCTCCTGTCCTCTTTCCTCAGGCTGCAAGACCTCTCATCTGGCTACTGGGTGCTCGTGGTGCATTTCACCCGGAAAGAGGCCATCAAACAGATCGAGGTTCTACAGCACGTGGCCACCAACCTGGGGCGCAGTGAGTAGTACCAGGCCAGCCCCGGGAAGGAAGGGACCAGCCCCGCTCTCCCTGTGCATAGCTCGGGGCTCCGCCGTGGCCTCCATGTCAGCCCCAGGCAGCCGTTCACCTTGAAGTTCCCAGTGGTAACAGGGCATTAGAGGGCCTTGAGCCCTCTTAACAACTCCCGGCGTCTGGCAGCGTAGGGGAGCTTCACAGGTGGAGTGGAGGAGAGCGCGATGCCGGGGAGAACCACCCCCTTGCCGTCCTGCGGCCCCAGCTCCCAGGACTTGGGCTGGGGTCATTGGCAGCCCACGGATCCCGTGTGGTTGATCTGCTTCTGCTCGACTGCAGGCGAGGGTTTGGAGAGGGAAACGGACTTGTCCATGGGGGTGGTGCTCCCTCAGCGAGGAGATTGTTGGCACACCTGGTCCCCTCAGTCCCTCTTCCTTTCCTCCCTGCCCTCTTTTGGCCAACGGGCCCCCCTTCCAATTTTCCTGCCCTTCATCTGCAGGCCGGGCCTGGCTCTACCTGGCCCTCAACGAGAACTCTCTGGAGAGCTACCTGCGGCTGTTCCAGGAGAACCTGGCTCTGCTGCACAAGTACTACGTCAAGTGAGTGCTCGGAGGGGTGTGCGCAGAGCAGCCTGAGCCTCATCCCAAAAGAGGGGTCGCATCCAGAGGCTGGAGTGACAGTACAGTGGGGAGGGTACTTGCCTTACACATGGCCGACGCAGGTTTGATCCCTGACACCCTGCATGGTCCCCCAAGCACTGCCAGGAGTAATTCCTGAGTGCAGAGCCAGGATAACCTCCGAGCAGCACCAGGTGTAACCCTAAAACAAGAGAAGAAAAAAAAAGTCACATCCTGTCCCCACAGTGTGCCACATCAGAGGCCTTGCCTGGCACTGCTTGTGAGGATTTGTCTGTGATGGCTCGAGCCGGGAAAGCCATGCCGGAGGGAGGACAACGTATCCCATGACCCTGGGGTCCCAGGCTGGCTCCCGAGTGGCACTTTGCTGCTCTGCCTTGCCTGACCCTCTGCCCAGGCCTCAGGCCTGACTAGAACGTTTCACCTTGGCGGGGGGGTTGCCACTGGAACCACGTATTTATAGCAGCTGCTCAGAGCCAGAGAGAGGAGCCTTGAGTGACAGGCCCCAGGCCTGCCGTCAGGTGCCATGTGGCTCTGCATCCGGAGCGAGCATGCCAGGAAGGGGTGGGCAGGAGCCGCTGCCAGCTGGGAAATCTTGGGGGGAAGCTTGACCAACCCAGGTTACCTTTTGACACCACTGGCTTACTGCTCAGGTAGGCAGAGTAGGCGGCCAGACCCAGACCGGCCCTGCCAGGGTGCCTCCTCTGTCCCACAGGAACGCCCTGGTCTGCAGCCACGATCACCTGACCCTCTTCCTGACCTTGGTCTCTGGGCTGGAGTTCATTCGATTCGATCTGGATCTGGTGAGGCTGCCGCCTCCTCCCGCCGCTGGGGGAGCAGGACCGGGGGGCCAGGGGAGGTGTGGGGAGGGGGGACGACACTCAGTGCTGGGCTTCGGATTCCCTCTCCGGGAAGTGTGTGGGATCTGATGTGCCCGGACAAGCCTGGTTAGCTCGGGGAGGCTTCGGAGCTGAGCGTTGGGCTTGAGTGGAACCGGGTGGCTCAGGGTCAGAGCAGTAGTACCCTGGGTAGGGCACTTGCCTCGCACACAGCTGACCCGGGTTCAGTCCCTGGTGTGTCATATGGTCCCCTGAGCACCGCTAGGAATAATTGCTGAGTGCAGAGCCAGGAGTAACCTCTGAGCATCTCCGGGTGTATCCTCCATCCCCACCACCAAAAAAAAGAAAAGAAAAGAAAAGGAAGGAAGGGAGGGAGGGAGGGAGGGAGGGAAAGGAAAGGAAAGTCGTGCTGCTGGTCAGGACGCCCCGCCTCCACCTCACCTCGGGGACAGCCATCTTCCTGGGGTCTGTGCACTCAATCTCGGGGCTTCAGGTTTATAAAGGGCAGGACGGATTCTGGGGGACAGAGCAGGCATGTCTCTGTGTCTTCGGGAATCCTGGTTGAGCCCTCAGCCCTATGTTCCCAGCCCCCCACCCCTCGTCCCTCCCAGCACTTGCTAAGTCGGCTGCAGGCCCAGAGAGAACTAAGGCGGTGGGTTCCAGAGTGGCCCTCAGCCTCGGCTCCTAAGGTCGGAGGCAGGGCCTGCCCGGTTCTCGCTGACCGGCCTTTCTTGGCCCCCTTGGCCCCTTGCCCGGCAGCACAGACCGAAAAGGGAACTTGGCTCCGGAAAAGGAGTAGCAAGGGGAGGAAATGGGTGACCAACAGTTAAAAAAAAAAAAAGAGCCTTAGGGGGTTCAGAAGGCAGACGGGGTTCTGCATCTCTGCCACCCACGGCCTTAAGAGCTGCAGCCTTTGCTCCTGGACGGTGTGTTTCTGAGCACTCGAGGCCCGTTGATTTCCCAGAGTAAAGCTTGCCTGAAGGAAGGGGAGAGAGAGGCGACCGTGTGGAGACCATGCATTCGGGCTCTCTCCAGGCCTTTCTCCCTCCCCTCAGGACGCCCCTTACTTAGACTTGGCCCCCTACATGCCCGACTACTATAAACCCCAGTACCTGCTGGACTTTGAAGATCGCCTTCCCAGCTCCATCCACGGCTCGGACAGCTTGTCCCTCAACTCCTTCAACTCGGCCACCTCCACCAACCTGGAGTGGGACGACAGTGCGATTGCCCCGTCCAGTGAGGGTGAGTGGCACGGGGCGGGCAGGAGCCCAGCCTCTGCTGGCCAGCTGGTCCTGGAGCCTTGCCCGAGCCCGGCCCGGGAACAGCCTTGCTTGGGTTCAGGGATGGAAATTTGGAGGGGTGCAGTGCCAACCCGTTTCTGTAGAGTTGCTGGGGTGGTCCAAAAAAAAGCTGGTTCCGGGGATGAAAAGCTGCACCGCGATCTCCCGAGTGTGAGATTTTTGTTTTTTATTCCCAGATGGCTCCAGCCACAGGTCCAGGGCAGAGATTTGGAGAATGGAGGGTTGAGCAGTGGGACCTAGAAATTCTGCCACTGGCATCGGCGAGGGTTTCCTCCTGGGGGCAGTTGCCCTTCCCCAGAGTCTCAGGGAGAAGAAAGGTGAAGGAGATGAGGGACGCAGGTTAGGGAAGCTGGGCCCCACCTTCTCATGAGCCTTCCGATTCCTGCGCTTGCTAGAGTGTGAGGAGTGATCGCACCCAGAGCATCAAAGACTGAAAGAATGCCATCAGCACTCTGGGTCATTTTGTTGTCTGGGTCTTCCACTTCCTGGGTCAGCCTGGTTTCTTTCCAACCTTAAGCCTTCACGTTCGCTTCCAAATGAACTCCATGGGCTGGAACGATAGTACAGCGGGTAAGGTGCTTGCCTAGCCCACGGCTGAACCGGATTTGATCCCTGGCACCCCATATGGTTCCCCAAGCCCTCCAAGGAGTGATCCCTGAGCACAGAGCCAGGAGTAAGCCCTGAGCACCACCAGGGGTGGCCCCAGAACCAAAAGAAAAGATAATAATAAATTAAAGAATTGCTTTCACCAGAGCTTTTACTTTCCCCCTCGCCGACCTCCAGGGACAGGGATCTGAGCCCTAGAATCAGTCCTGGACTCCCCAGAATTGCCTCAGCCTCACCCCTCAGCATCATTCCTCCTGCTCGTGCCGTGCATCTCCCATCCCAGGGAGAGGGAGGCTGTTTTCAGACTTGCACTGGCAGGCAAGACTGTGTCCCTCATGGGATCAGCGGCAGGAAGAGGGCAGCCCTCCGGGGAACTCAGGAGGAGGTGTGGGCCTTGATGGCGCAGCCTGGCACTCATGGTCCAAGGCGGTCCCTCATGCCCACTTCATCGCAGCTGCTGGGCTACCGAGAGGGAAAGGGCCGAAGGAGAGGAGGACAGAAAGGAGGGAGCAGCGGGTCAAGGAGGAGGACAGGCGTGGGGTGGCTCTGCTCTCCTGCCAGGCCCAGGCGTGGGGAAGACTCATCCCCGCTCTCGGCCCATCACAGGCAGGGAAGCAGCTGGGGTTCCGAGTTCCCTTGAGCAAGTCAGAGAAGATAAAGTTTAATTTTTTTTTTCTCTGTCTTCTTCCCACCCTCCCCACCCTGTTGCCCTGTACCCTCCTTGCCCTGCCAGTGTCTGTGTTTCTAATCTTCAGTTTTGTCCCTCGTTTTTATAGATTATGATTTTGGAGATGTGTTTCCGGCAGTGCCGTCTGTCCCCAGCACAGACTGGGAAGGTGGGCCAGAGTCTGCTGTCACCCCCCTTTTCCTGTCTTGCACCGTGCCCAGGCCCGCTTGCTGCATGACTCAGAATCAGCTCGTTCCTTACAATCGTGTCAGTGATCGTAATAAAGCTGAGTTTGGTGTTCTAGGAGATGGAATTCTGCGCAAGGGGAACTTGACCTTTAGCCCTCGGCAGATCTGAGCCTGCCTGCAGGCGTTGGCGTGTGCGGGGGCTCACTAGGGGACTGGGTTTCCTGGACACAGAAGCCAGACAAAGCACAGGGTGTGCGCAGGGAACGGCCAGCCAGTGGAGCCCAGCGAGGGGAGACTTGTTCTGCAACTCCGTCTCTGTGCGAGCCTCGTTCAGCCGGGTGCGCTCCAGTCCCAGAAGCAGCCAGACACCGGGCAGAGATAAGGCTTGGGCGCTGTTCTCCATGGCTTTCTCTCCGGGTTTTGTTTGTTTTTCCCCATGCTGGGGCTGGAGTTCAGGGCCCAGTAGGAAAAACTTGCATTCTACCCATCCCGTTATATCTCTGCTTTGATACTTTTGAGAGATTAAGGTCCAAGTGAGAGAAGTTGTACAGCTGAAACGGCTCAGGTGGGCATGTGACATTTTTTAAAAATGTTACTTTTTTTTTAAAGGGATTTTTTTTTTTTTTGCTTTTTGGGTCACACCCAGCGATGCTCAGGGGTTATTCCTGGCTCTGCACTCAGGAATTACTCCTGGCGGTGCTTGGGGGACCATATGGGATGCCGGGGATCGAACCCAGGTCGGCCACATGCAAGGCAAATGCCCTACCCGCTGTGCTATCACTCCGGCCCCCAAAAGTTATGTTTTTAAAATATTTCCCCCCCCCTTTTTTTTTTTGGTGCTGGGGATTGAATCCTGGGCCTCGAACATGCAAAGCAAGTGCCATGCCACTGAGCTGCATTCCCTGCTTCTCTGTGAAGTCTTGGGGCGGATTAAAATAAAATCTGTCACTCATCCTGCCCAGTCTGTTGGGCAGCAGTGATGCTCCAGTCACATACAGGTAAAGGTAAAGGTAAAGGCCCTCCCGTTGATCGTCGATTTGCTCAAGCGGGCCCAGTAACGTCTCCATTGGAGACTTTGTTGTTACTGTGTCTGGCATATCGAATACTCTCGGTAGCTTGCCGGGCTCTCCGAGAGGGCTGGAGTGATAGCACAGCGGGTAGGGCGTTCGCCTTACAAGCGGCCAACATGGCCGACCCCAGTCACATACAGACTCAGGAAAATCAGGAGCCATTGCCTTCTTTCTGTGGTTGCTCAGAGCACAAGTCGCGCTTAGGAGATGGCCAGGGCTTCCTCCTTGAATGCCAGGCCAGAGTAGACCCCTCTTAGTGAAAGTCCTTCTTGCCCTGTGGGCCACTTCTGTCCAGGTGGGCGGGACAGGTGCCAGCCACTGGTCCTGCTCCCGAGCTCACCCATTGTCATCGCGCCTGGATCTCTGCTGAGTGACAGGCTGTGCCTTCCCAAGTCACATGAGGGAAATGAGGTGCAGCTTTGGGGGAAGGAAGTGGCCCAGAGAGAGGTGTTGGAGAGCCCCCGGTTTTAGTTCATCCCAGCTAGAAATCCAGAATTCCATCTGAGCAGCTCTGTGCTCCCTGCCTCTCCTCCTGAAGCACCTTCTGGGCCTTGGTCTTTCCCTCCAAGTCTAACTAACTAACTGACTAACCCTTCTGCTGTCTGTCTGTCGCTGTCACTGACCAGCAGGGCCCAGCCTTCCCCAGGGCGGGAAGTGGCACTGCTTGCTCAGGTCGTCTTGGGCTCCAGGGCACCGGGAGGTTCTCCCGCTGTCCTGGCCTCCCATGCCACACTCAAGACTTCTGGAGCTCGCCCTGATGGCTGACCTGCAGACCTGGAGGAAAGCAAGGTTGCAGGAAGCTCCATATTCTCGGCCGCCCCCTGGGTGGCGATGGAGGCAGCTCCTGTGGTCCACAGCCCCCTTCCAGGCTGGCAGGGTCCAAGCCCTGACACGCCCCCAGCTCTGTGGTTCTCCTCACTCAGAGCAGCTGCGTACCCAGGACCCCAAACCGGAAGCAGGGTCCCTGCAGGTGCCTGGGTCCCAGGACCCCAGCAGATAGCTTTCTGGAGCACTGGTTTTGTCCTGGCAGGTCCCATGATGGCTTCAGCCTTTCTTTTATCCTTACATTGAAACAGTGTCCTTTGGCACATGGACAGTGTCCGATGCCAGCAGGCAGCTGCCTGGGGTTGGGGGTTGAGGGGGAGTTCCAGGATCCACTGAGAACTTAGCAACAGGCAAGACCCTCCGGGCTGAGATCAATTGGTACGCCCCCTCTCCTCCGGGTGGGTTGTGGCCATGAGTTCCCTGGAGTGTGAACCAACCTCCCACACCCTCATCGCCAGCCCTTGTCCAGGTGGTTCCACCTGCCAGGCCCCGGTTCTCCTCTGGGTGGCTCCCACCCGGATGAGAGCCCTGTGAGCTTGTCTAGTGTGGGGGGAAGGAGGCCCATTCCAGTGACCGAAGGTGGCCGGCTGGCAGAGTGGCGTTCAATCAGACCAGCTCCTCTCTGGAGGGTCAGCAGCATGTCCTGCTTTCTCCCCAGAGTGGACAGTTGGGTGAGGCTAGGCGGCAGTGAGGCCCCCCCCCCCCCACACACACACACACTGAGGTTCCAATCACACGGGCCCCTCGCCCTCTGTTGAGGGTGCAGGCGGGATGTCGGGGGGAGCAGCAGTCACTGAGGGGCCCGTTTCTCTCCTGGTCCCTCACCTCTCGCCCTCTGTGCTCTGTTCTGTACCCCTAACTTCCTCTGGCCCTGATGCTCTTCCCCGACTCTCACCTTCCGTTCCTTTGTGTCTGTGTCTTCAGTAGATGCTACAGTGATTCAGGGCCTCAGCTTGGGCCTGCAGGTGCTCCCCTGGCATCCACTGTCCAAGACCCTGAGCCCCGGGCCCTGGGACCCCAGCCCCATCGTGCCCTGCTCGACTCCCACTTGGCTGCCGAGTCACAGTTCCCCTGTCCTGTGAGATCGGGGCCTCTGCTCCTGAACTGGGATCCCCTTCCCCCACCCACCCAGAGCCACCTTTCCATCCTGGGGGGAGGCAGGCCGTCTGACGGGCGCTCTCTCTCCTGTCTCGCGCTCCCCCAGATGGAGACCTCACCGACACCATCAGCGGCCCCCGCTCCACCGCCTCAGACCTAACCAGCGGCAAGGCCTCCACCAAGAGCCCCACCCAGCGCCACAACCCCTTCAACGAGGGCCAGGCGGACACGGTGTCCTCCTCGGACACCACCCCCGTGCACGCTGCCTCGCAGGAAAAGGCAGAGCCCCGCACCCCAAGCCCGCCAGACACCTGCACCGAGCTGGAAGTCATCAGGTCAGTGAAAGGCGGGAGGCCAGGGAGAAGAGGGGGTGCACCAAAGAGACACCGGGTCCGGTCTAGAGCCGCCCGAGTTTCCCTGCCCCACCCCATCTCCCCTAGGGCGACCCCTGAGAGCCAACGCAGTTTCTGAGCTCTGTGCTGACTCCAGGCCAGCTGGGCTCATCGGGAGAAAAGTAGCTTTGTCATAGGAAAGGGACAGCGGAAGGGAAGGAGAAGGTGAATGACCAGTTGGGACACTATTTGGGGGTGGGGGTGGGTCAGGGGATGGGTTGGGCCACACCCAGCAGTGGTCAGGACTTACTCCCTTTTTCTTTTCTGCTTTTTGGGTCACACCCAGTGATGCTCAGGGTTACTCCTGGCTTTCCACTCAGCAGTTACTCCTGGCGGTGCTCAGGGGACAATATGGGGTGCCAGGGATCAAACCCCGATCGGCCGCATGCACAGCAAACATCCTACCCGCTGTGCTATCCCTCCAGCCCCTCAGGGCTTACTCCTGGCTCTGTGCTCAGGGCTCTCTCCTGGCAAGCCTCAAGGGATCCTGTGCAGTGCCAGGGGACCCAAATGAGATCAGTTGTGTGCTCCGCAGTACCTAAGCCCCTACACAGTCTCTCCCATCCCAAACTGGGAAACGTTTTTTGGGCGTCATTTTTGGGTCATACCCGGCGATGCTCAAGTGTGTTACTCCTGGCTCTGCACTCAGGAATTACTCCTGGTGGTGTTCAGGTTATCGAACCCAGGTCAGGCTGTGCAAGGCCAGCGCCTGACCTTGAATTGGGAAACTTAACCCAGGGCCTCTCCTGACTCCAGCTCTGGGACTCTCCATCCATCTGGGCGCATCTGGAGGCTTGCTGGCCCACGGGGACATGTCCCCACTGTCCCCAGCGGCCTGGGGCCTGGGTGCCCCAGCCACTGCAGTGGCTCAGCCCTCGTCTCACTTAGTCGGGACCACTCTGGCCGCTTGGAACAAAGTGTGTACCCGAATCTTTTGACTCCAACTAATTAAATCATCCTTGATGATGCCTAATGGGAAGCGGGGCCAGCCCAAGACACAGGGCCCACGTGCTGGTAGAGGGACAGCCGGTGTCACCCCCAGGACACAGCTAGTTCCAGGGTGCTCTTCCACTAGGGTTCACACCTCCTGCCTCCCTCATGCTGGTCCCTGTGTCTCTTCTGTGGTCTTGGGCATAGCACCCCCTTCCTCAGCATGTCCCGCTGCTGCCCACTAGCACCGCCCAGACCTCCCCCCCCCCCCCCGCATGCTGGCTGTACCCAGAGGCCCCACGCCCAGGATCACCTCTTTTCACTCAGCCCGTCTGGTTTCCCTCGGCATTGTGGTGACGTGAAATCTCTCCCACCACCACTGCCCCAGGGTCACCAAGAAGAAGAAGACTGGCAAAAAGAAGAAGATGAGAGTGGACGAGGAAGCCAGCCCGCTCCACCTCTCCTCCAGCCAGCACGCCGCTGCCAGGCAGCAGGAAGGCCCCGGCGTGGGGCAGGGCCCCCCGGACGGCCCCTCGGCTTCCCCCCGGAACGAGGCAGCAGGGCCCGGCAGCACGACCGAGAGCAGCGAGCCCTCGGAGCCCGGCCCGGTGGGCCTGCTCATCCCCGCCATGAAGGACACCTCCATGGAGTGCCTGGGCCAGCCCCTGAGTAAGGTCATTGCGCAGCTCAACGGGCAGCTGGACCCCAGCACCTGGGGCTCCGGAGCAGAACCCCCCGACCAGTCCTTTCGGACCGGCTCTCCCGGGGAAGCCCCGGAGAGGCCGCCATCGTGCGACTTTAGCGAGGGGCTCCCCGCCCCCATGGACTTCTACCGCTTTACCGTCGAGAGTCCAGGCTCTGTCACAGCAGGTGGCGGCCACCATGACCCTGCAGGGCCTGGCCAACCGCCGCATGTTCCTGGTCGCCCTACGGCTGCTGGCCCAGAAGAAGAGGGAGGAGGAGGAGGAGACAGAGCACAGCCGCCACCCCCCGCCCCTAGACGACCCCTCAGGTGCTGTCCCAGAGCCGGACACCCGGGAACTGGACACCTCGCCCGGACACCCAGTTGGGGAGGGCCCCGTGCTGGACCTGGAACCCGAAGCCCAGCTCACGAGAGAGCAGCCCAGCCCCTGCCCGAGCAGTGCGGAGGACTCGGGGGTGGAGGAGGGCCAGGGGAGCCCCTCGGAGGTGACCCACGCGGCAGAGTTCAGGTGAGCTGCCAGGATCGACACGTCCGTCCTTGAAGCGGGGGTCCCTGGGCTGGAAAACTCGGCTCAGCTCCCAGGAGATCTAGGCAGCGTTGAGGGGTAGAGAGGGACGTGGACCTCCTTTCTCTCGTTTTGGCTCCGAGTCAGGGGAGAGCTGCTCTAGCTGCACGGCATCTCTGCCTGTACAGCCTCTCTCTGCTCACCTTGCTTCTCGGTACCTGTATTGCCTCAGAGGGCCTGCCTCACCTCGGAATGCCTGCATCGCCTCAGTGAGCCTGTATTGCCTCACAGTGTTCCTGCCTCACCTCAGCGTGCCTGCCTTGCCTCAGAGCGCCTGTGTCACCTGTGTGCCCGCGTTGTTTCAGTGTGCCTACTTCATCTCAGAGCACTTGCATTGCTCAGTGTGCCTATATCACCTCAGTATGCCTGTATCACCTCTATGTGCTGGCATCACTTCAGTGTGTCTGCCTCGCCTCACTGTGCCTGCATCACCTCACAGTGCCTGCCTTGCCTCAGAGTGTCTGCCTCGCCTCAGAGTACAGGCCTCGCCTCAAAGTGCCTGCCTCGCCTCACTGTGCCTGCATCACCTCAGAGTGCCTGCCTCACCTCAGAGTGTCTGCCTTGCCTCAGAGTGCCTGCCTCACCTCAGAGTGCCTGTGTCACCTGTGTACCTGTGTTGTTTCCGTGTGCCTACCTCATCTTAGAGCACTTGCACTGCTCATGTGCTTACATTGCCTCAGTGTGCCTGTATAACCTCTGTGTGCTGGCATCACCTCAGTGTTCCTGCCTCGCCTCAGAGTGCCTGTATCACCGTTCCAACCCCCACCTTAGCCTGCTACCCAGCCTTCCCGTCCTTGTCCTTCTCACAGGGTAGACAACAATCACTTACTCCTGCTGATGATCCACGTGTTTCGGGAAAATGAAGAGCAGCTCTTCAAAGTAAGCTCCAGGGACCCTAGAATGAGCAGGGCAAGGTGGGGGGAGGGTTGCAGCCTGTTGAGAAGCGGGGTGGGCTTCGAGGCAGAGCAGGAGCCATGGGGCCTGACCTCCCTGTGCTTGGCCCGCAGATGATCCGGATGAGCACGGGGCACATGGAAGGCAACCTGCAGCTGCTGTACGTGCTGCTCACAGACTGCTATGTCTACTTGCTCCGGAAAGGTCCTGTCCCCCCCCACCTCCCGGCTAGCCAGGGCAGCTGCAGGTGGAGGATGAGACGGTCTCCACCCCTCTCCTCAGGCCCTCTACCTGCTGGTCTTGCTTGGCTGTCCGGTGTGTGCTGATGAGAATGCACTTCAGGGGCCAGAGCGATAGTACAGCCAGGAAAGGCACCTACCTGGCACACAGCTGGCCGGGTTCTACCCCCAGAGTCCCCTGTAGTCCCCCGAGCACCTCCAGGAGTGATTCCTGAGTGCAGAGCCAGGAGTAAGCCCTGAGCATTGCTGGGCGTGACCCAAAACAGAAGGAAAAGAAGAGAAGAGAAGCAAATGCACCTCACGAGAGGGGGTCCCTGGCAGTCCCCCGACAGGAGCCTGGGGAACTCCCTGCCACAGGTGCCCCGTTGTTGTGCAATCACAGGGCGAGGACGAGTCTTCCCAGAGAGGGGACGAGGTCTCAGACAGGGAGGGAGGGGAAGGAAAACAGGCCGTGGGGGATAATGGGATTGGCGTCTCCTCTCTCAGGGGCCACCGAGAAGCCCTATCTGGTGGAAGAGGCCATCTCTTACAATGAACTGGACTATGTGTCGGTGAGTGCAGGCTCTGCTGCTGGCATATGCCCCAGGCAGGCTCCTCACCTGCCCTCCTGCCCTCCCTCAGAGCTATGAGCAAGGCAAGGCCCCCCGGGGTAGGCTGCTGGGGTTAGGTACCAGCTCAGTGCTCAGAGCAGCGTCTTTTTTGTCTTTTTCGGTCTGGGGGTTATTGGAACACAAAAACCTACCTTGGGGCTAACTCCTGGCTCTGTGCTCAGGCTCGCTGGTGGCGGGGCTACTCAGACTATGCGGCGCATGGGATCGAACCCAGACCCTCCCGCATGCCAAGCCTGAGCCATCCCCCAGGCCTGTGTCCCTGGTGCTGGGATAAGAACCACTCTGGGGGTGGGGGGTGTCTCCTCGTGGTATCTCCAGCCGGCCTTCCCTAACTCCGGCCAGGCAGCTCCCGGCCCACGGGCATCTGTGGTTGTGTTTTCTGGCAGGTGGGCCTGGACCAGCAGACCGTGAAGCTGGTGTGCACCAACCGCAGGAAGCAGTTTCTGCTGGACACGGCCGACGTGAGCCTGGCTGAGTGAGTGCCCTCCCCGCTCCAGCATGACTGGAGAGTCACAGCCTCTGCCCTGCCCTGGAGTCCCCCCTCGGAGCACTGGGAGGAAAGTGGGCCATGGGGCAGGGGAAGTATCCCTTTCCTCTGGACCTCAGAGTCACTGTGTGGATAAGCTTGCTAGCTCACATGGCCCACCACGTGACCTCAGGCCCTGCATGGCCGACACCAGAGGGGGACTGGCGGGAGGCACCCCGCAGGAAAGGCACAAGCCCCGCCGCCCTGAGCACCCACACACTCCCATGGGAGTGCATCTCGCTCAGCTCCTGCATGTCTCCGGGGCCTTTGCCAGCTCTCCATGGGTGGCCCACACCACGGACACATCATTCATTGTCCACCCCTGGTCTCTGCTTCCAGCCAGGCCCGGTGCTGGGTCCCCATGAGCCCCTGAAGTGGGGAGGGACCCCATCCTCTGACAGCACCCCCACTCGCCATGCAGGTTCTTCTTGGCGTCTCTGAAGTCAGCCATGATCAAAGGCTGCCGGGAGCCACCCTACCCCAGCATCCTAACTGATGCCACCATGGAGAAGCTGGCACTGGCCAAGTTTGTGGCCCAGGAGTCTAGATGTGAGGTGAGAAGCTGAGGGATGGGGAGGGGATCCGGGTCAAGAGGTGTAAAGAGATGCATTGCCCCTCATCCCTCCCCCCCAGGAAGGCTTTTGAGTCCCCCCCCTCACACACACCTCTGCCCCCTCTCTTCTGGGGTGTCTTTGTTCCTGGTGCTCAGCCATCAGAGAGCCAGGCCCAGCCTCACTCTGGGACTGGAGCCATAGAGTAGGGCACTTGCCTGGCACGCAGCTGACCCGGGTTCAATCCCCGGCAGCCCGTGTGGTCCCCCCCAGCCCACCAGGAGTGATTCCTGAGTGCAGAGCCAGGAGTAACCCCTGAGCATTGCCAGGGATCCCCCTTCATCCCCCCCCCCCAAAAAAAAAGCCAACCCTCACTCAGCCCGCTGCTGTCCCCGCCAGGCCACCGCCGTCACTGTGTGCTTCTACGGGCTGGTGCACTGGGAGGACCCCACGGATGAATGCATGGGCCCGGCCGCCTGCCACTGCACAGCCCCCGAGGGTGGCATCACCAAAGAAGGCATGCTACATTACAAGGCGGGCACCTCCTACCTGGGCAAGGAGCACTGGAAACCCTGCTTTGTGGTGCTCAGGTGGGTGCCGCCGCCAGGCTACAGGCCGGCACTGGGGCGGCTCTGGAAGGCCGTCCTGTCCGCCTCTGGGGTCCCGGGGTGCCTCTGGGCTGGGGTCGCTGATGGGCCCACGGGGGAGACGGCATTCCCTGCTGCCCCCACCGTCCCTGACCCTCCCGAGCATCTTGGGGTGGCCCCTGGGATGTGGGCGCTGCAGGGACCCCCCCCTTCCTGGTCAGGTCACCCTGCCGTGTTGTCGCCTGCAGCAATGGGATCCTCTACCAGTACCCCGACCGCACGGACGTCACCCCGCTGCTCTCGGTGAACATGGGGTGAGTTCTGTTGCAGTGGGAGGTGCCACGGCCTTGGCATCCCTGCCTGGGGGTCCGGGCCCCAGGGTCTCTGCTCCCCTGGCTGGGCCTCTTCCTTGTCACCTCAGCCTGTGCCCTGAGGGCTGCTATACTCAACAGAGCGACAAGGGCCGCTTCCATCAAGGGGAACTGCTTCCTGGGGAAGTTCCCGTCTCATAGACGAGAGACAGCCCCCCAGACTGATCGGGGGGGCTGTCTCCCAGACTGACAGGGGAGGCAGCCCCAAAACTGGTAGGGGAGATAGTCTGTGAGGCTGATAGAGGAGACAGTCTCTCAGACTGATAGGGGAGGTGGCAGTCCCCCAGACTGATGGAGGAGGCGGTCCCCCAGACTCATGGGGGAGGCAGTCCCCGAGTCTGCACCAGATGCCAGCCCCAGGGCCCTGGCCCGTGCCGCCTCCTCGCTCTGTTTCACCCTCGTCCTCTGGCCCAGGGGGGAGCAGTGCGGTGGCTGTCGGAGATCCAACACCACGGACCGGCCCCACGCCTTCCAGGTCATCCTTGCCGACCGGCCGTGCCTGGAGCTGAGTGCGGGCAGCGAGGCTGAGATGGCCGACTGGATGCAGCACCTGTGCCAGGCCGTGTCGAAAGGGGTGAGCTCCTCCTCAGCGACTCCCGCCGGCGCCCTCTGAGCCCCTAAGGACCGTGCCGGCGGCCCCCGGGCCCTGCACTTGGGGTAGCCCCAAGGGGGCGGCTGAGCTGACCTGGCTGCAGGGTGCAGCTCCTTTCTCCCCACTGCTGCCCCTGCCTCAGGCCATCCCCCAGGGCGTGGCCCCCAGCCCCTGCATCCCCTGCTGCCTGGTCGTCACCGCGGACCGCCTCTTCACGTGCCACGAGGATTGCCAGACCAGCTTCTTCCGCTCGCTGGGCACCGCCAGGCTGGCAGACATCAGCACCGTCTCCACAGATCCAGGCAGGGAGTACTGTGTCTTGGTGAGCTAGGTGGGCGGGGGCGGGGGGTGGCCCACCCCAGGAATCCTGGTTCCTCTCACCCAGATGCCCCTCCCCTCTCCCCAGGATTTCTCCCAGGACAGCCAGCAGCCCCTGCCTCCCTGGGTCCTCTACCTGAGCTGCACAGCCGAGCTGGACAGATTCCTGTCCACACTGAACACGGGCTGGAAAACCATCTACCAGGTATCTCGTAGCCGGGGGCCCTGGGCATGGAGCCTCGAGCCACAGACTGAGACAGGAGGCAGGCCCAGGGGTGACACTGCCTATAGCTCCTGCACTTGGCCCATGCATGGCTCAGAGGGCTGGGCTTGAAGCCCTGCACGGGCCTCTGGGCACTAGGAAGCAACCCCAAGCAAGCCAGCTGGGAGAGAGTGGCCCTTGAGTACCAATCACCCTCTGTGGCTCCTGGGGAGTATGGGACAAAAGCCGCAACATCTAGGACCCACCATTCCTGACCTTCTGTGCGTGTCAAGAGACGGAAGCCTGGAGGCTGGAGCCATAGCACAGTGGGCTGGGCATTTGCCTTGACCACAGCAGACCCTGGACTGTGACCCAGACACTGGGTGTGATCCCTGGCGTCCAAAATGGTCCCCCGAGCGCCACCAGGTGTGACCCAAAAATTAGAGAGAGAGAGAGAGAGAGAGAGAGAGAGAGAGAGTTGTAAGCCTTGTGCCAGAGAGAGGACAGCAGGGAAGGTGCTTGCCTTGCATGCAGCTGACCCAGGTTCGATCCCCAGCACCGCATCTGCTCCCCTGAGCGATCTCTAAGCACCAAGCCAAGAGTAAGCCTTGAGCATTCCTGGGTGTGGCACAAAAATAAACCCAAAAAGCAAGGCTAGAGGTGCCCCTGGTGCTAGAGACCCGGGATTGGCCACCCAGTGTGGGAAAAACGTCCAACACCGGACAGATGGAGAGAGGGGGAGGATGGGAGCCCGCGCCAGGCCCTTGGGACGTGCTCCGCTGGGCCTCTCCCTGGAAAGCACCGCCCCTCAGCCCCAGCCCGAGCTAGGAGAGCAGCGTGCCCTGAGACCGGAGCACCAGGCCCCAGCCCCGGCCCCCCTGCGAGCCCGCATGGCCCACCATGCTGCTGCTCACCCAGCGTCCCCCACCCGCCAGGTGGACCTGCCCCACAAGGCCCTGCAGGAGGCCTCCCACAAGAAGTTCGAGGATGCTCTGAGCCTCATCCACAGCGCCTGGCAGCGGAGCGACAGCCTGTGCCGCGGCCGAGCCTCCCGGGACCCCTGGTGCTGAGGCCGAGCCACCCGTGCAGACGCGCCGCAGCATCCCCGTGTGTGGCGGGAGGGGCCCACAAGCAGCCCCGGCCTCACGGCCTCACTGTACTGCCCGGGGACTGGCCGCTGGCCCGCTCAACACCCCATGCCGCCGTCCTGGGCAGCAGGACCATCGAGGGGGCTTGAGCCCAGGGTCCAGGGATCCTGTGGGGGCACCTGCCTGGCAGCTGGTGGCCGGAGACGTTCAGGGAGCAGAAGGGCTGAGCCCTGTGGGCTCTGCTGGTGCCCGGCTGCGTCCGGGAGTGTGCCAGCGCCGCAGGAGGCAAAGAGAGTGACGCCAACTCATGGGGAGGTGAGGGCTGGCAGGGCGGGCCCCCCTCCTCCACTCAGAGGCCCCACGGGGGCTCCGGCCGTCCCGGGCGTCCCCGGGTCTGGTCCTTCGTCCTGGTTGGACGTGACCAGTCGCAAAGGAAGGTGGGACACTCGTGGTCTCGTGCATGTTTCTCACCAACTGCCCCCCATGCTGCTGCCCAGCTGGCCAGGGCCGGGGAGGCCTGCATGTCACAGCTCCCCGCCCAAGCCCCCTTTGCACTGGGCCCTGCCCATCCGACCCAGGAATCAGACCATCATCTTGCCTGGAGCAAAAGGGACGGAAAGGGCTGGAGGGGGCAGCACAGCCCCAGGAGCCTGGGGGGTGGGCAGGGACCCCGCTTGGCTGGGGTTATGCCCTGGAGGATTTTTGTCACAAACCCTGTGGAGGGGCCGGGTGGTCGAGGTTGGTTGGTTTGGTTTTTTTTTTTTTAAATAAAATAGACATGTTATATTGCATAGACTTGGCACTGGCCTCTCTGATCACGGGCGGAGCTGGGGGCCCTCTCTCTGCTCTCCTCCCCCAGCAGCTCCCTGCTCACCCTGGGACAGGCTCCCCGGCTGTCCCCGTGAGAGAAATCCAGCCACATCCAGGCTGGACCAAGGCCTCTGGTTGGGCAGCCCTTCCCCAGGGTGAGTCCTGGCCAGAGTGACACGGAGACCCTCCGGCCACCTTCAGCACCTCCTGCCTGAGAAGCACCGAGGTACGAAAGGAGCCGAAGAGGCCACAGCACCCCAGGGCTCTGAGTGTCACTTGGTGCTGCAGGACTGAGACAAACTGCCCAGGGGACAGACACCAGCCAGCAGATGCAGACCGACAGCTCCCCAGGGCGAGGGGTCTCCCTCCCCCCAGTCACCTGGGCACCTGTGCACACTAGGACCCTCCTGGGAGGGCCCCACCCAACCAGGCGCCTCCAGGAGCAAGGCCGGGCCAGGCCAGTCCTTACCCAGGAGGGTGACCCAGGCTTGTAGGGGTCCTGGCCAGTCTACCCCAGCAAACTGCATTACGAACCTCCCAAGTCGCTGGACATCCTGAAAGAAAGCCACAGGAGGGAAGTCCGGTAGTCAAGCAGTTCTCTGTTTATTGGTCCCTACCCAAGGGTTCTTATACATACACGGGGGGGGGGGGGGAGGGGGGGGGTGGGAGGGGCGGAGGGGGGAGGAGACAATCCAACCAACCCAACGTACAGCAGGGCTCTCTAGCATAGGAGCCCCGGGGGGCGTGTCCCAGGCGGCAGTGGAGCTGGTGTTTCAGACCCTGCCCTCCGGACATCGGATATCCACAGGTCCCCTAACCCAACCCTGTGGCCCTGAGCACTGCCGACCCCCACTGCCCCCCGGCCTATGCTGCTGCTGCTGCTGACCAAGACCATCCGGCACCTGGCTGGAATCCATGGAGACGGAGGCCCCAGCTGTGGGCCTGGAGCTGGGCATCTCAACAACCAGCTGCCAGGCAGGCCACAAAGTGATGGGAGGGCCGAGGGAAGTGCCCGAGGCCTGCAGTGCACCCTAAGTCTTCACCACCACCACCAGGGGGCAGTGACAACACAGCTAGACAGCATGCTGTAGTGCCCAGGCCAGGCCCCTACCTCAGTCTCCCTCACTGCTGAGCCCCTAACCCCAGCTCTCTCTCTTCTGCCCGGGAAAGTTGGAACCAAAAGAAATGAGGTGTGTGTGGGGGGAGGGGAATGATATGGGGGCTGTGGGGGAGGGAGTGTTCCAGAGGAATATTACAGTGGCTTAGAATGCCTGCCTCACAAGCTTATGGGCATGAGTTCAAACCCCTGGGGTCCCACGTGCCCCACGAAAGATCCTGGCAGCCATGCTGTTCTGTTCACCATATTGTAAGCCACTTCCCTCTGCACCTTGGCCAGATGTGTGAGCAGCACAAAAAGGGGTGTGACGCCGAGCAGCACTGAAAAAAAAAATGTGTAAGCATCATGGTCAAGAAGGGCTAGTCCTGGGGCTGGAGCAATAGCACAGCGGGTAGGGCATTTGCCTTGCATGCGGCCAACCCGGGTTCGATCCCCAGCATCCCATATGGTCCCCCGAGCACCGCCAGGAATGATTCCTGAGAGCAGAGCCAGGAGTAACCCCTGAGCATCGCTGGGTGTAACCCAGAAAGCAAAAAATAAAAATAAAAAAAGGAAGGGTGAGTCCTGACCAGCCTGTATGAGGGCACCAAGATGGAAGGAGGGCAGATTTTCTCACACTGTCTTGCCGCCCGCGTTCGGTGCTCTTGATCTGCTATGTGTGGCCTGGATCGGGTCGGCTGTTGGCCAAGGGCAGACGAAGGAAGAAACGAGGGCCAGGCTGGTCGGTATCTATTGTAGTTTATTCCAATCCTCTTCACTCCTGTCCTCTGCCTCCTCTCCTGGGCCCCAATTTGGAACCTTTCTCCTTCTGGCTCTGACCCTGGATCTCTGGAGCCCGAGCTCTCTCACTTCTGAGTCTCCTCTCTCCGAGATTACATTCTTAGTTTATATAGCAGTCACGTAGGGTGGTGACGCAAAGGTGGGTTGAACATCGACAAATCAACAAAGAGAGGTAAGACCACTCCTCCAGGAGATTAACTCCAGGATAAAATCTCATCTACAGAGATTACTCCAGTTTACTAGGAGATCCGCTCAAGGGTGGGATCCTAACAAGGGTGTGTTCTTTCCTCAGCTAGTAATCTACTTAAATAGCTGTAGTAAATCTACTTCTAATATTTCTAGCAATGTCATTCTGTGTGAGCACAGTAGGAGATATAAACATCTCATCATACATTCCGCAGTCCTCAGGCCAGGTTAGTCTTCCTAGCCCCAGCAGGGTCCTAGTCTCGTCGTTACTTACTTTTGGATCATGACAGCATTTGTCCAAGACCGTGCCCTCAATTTATAGTTGAGTATCGTGGCGCTTTGGCCTGGCCCATTTCGATGCCAGGGTAGCTCACAGCTTGCCCTGGGTCCATTCAGTCCCTTGTCAGGACCCTGCTTTTGGGGTGCTAGGAATTAAGGGCAACTGAGTCAAGAAAGCAGATGTCCAGGAGTAAATATTATTCAGAGTCAATCAACTCCCAAGTTACAAAGCATAATATTAACTGTCTTCCTGTGTCCATACAGAAAGGACATTGCTTACAATACAAGTTCAGTGTCCTTAGATGGGTGTGACCCGATAAACCTAAGCTACCTGAGGAAGGACAAAACAGTGTTATCCTACATACATGCACACACATACATGCACATACACATATATAACACGCCCATATGCACATACACATGCACATACACACATGCACACACATGAACATACACATACACACATATGCACATACACACATACATAACACATGCACATACACATGCACACACATGAACATGCACATACACATATATGCACGTGCATACATAACACGCACACACATATGCACACACACACAACACTCATCAATGATGGGAAGGGGGTGGGGAGGGAATTAGAAAAATAAAAACAAATGGAAAGAGCGCAGGGGCTAAGGGGCTTCCTTGCATCCCAATGACCTCCGTTTGAATCCCTGGACCACCAAGAACCACCAGAAGTGATCCCCAAGCATAAGCATAAGCCAGAAGTAAACCCTGAGCACAGCCAAAACAAAACTAACTAGGAACAGTGAGTAAGGGGCCTGCCAGGGTTCACTCTCCAGCACCCCAGCTGGTCCCCGGAGCACTCAGGAGTGATCCTTGAGCACGGGGCCAGGAGTAAGCCCTGAGCACTAGCAGGGGTGAGCACCCCTCCCCGCCAATAAAAGAATTGGGACTGGCTAGACCAGCCTCTCCAGGTGACGCCTGCCATCTAGTGGACACAGAGAGAACTGTCCATCCAAGCCGACGGCCCAGGTTCTGAGCTGGGGGTCTTGGGAACTGGTGTTGGATGAGACCCAGGCAATGGTGCACCGTCCATCCAGACCCTGGGCTGAGAGAGCAGAGTGACCTCCAGCAGCAGCAGCAGCAGCAGTGGCGGCGGGGAGATAGACGGCCCCTTTGGGATGGTGCCCGAGGGGTGGAGTCCACACTTGAGTCTGCCGGTCACACACCAGACTCAGGCTGGGGAGCAGCGTTCAGGAGGCCTGGGGCTTGTACAGCCAGCCCCAGGGAGGGCAGGAAGCGGGACTGAGGCCGCCGCCTGACAACCTGCTCCCCCGTGCTGCCCTACGAGGCCTTTGCAGGCCCTGATTGGCTCCCGATGCCCCTTCACCCTGGGCTCCCCTCCCCGGTGCTGGTCTTTTGACCTTCCCAGTCACTCCCTCCCTCGCGGACACCTTTGCCCCATGACGTGACGCTGCTGGCCTCTCAGGTGTGGGCCGGCCGGCCGGAGGCTGGGGCAGGAGCCGGCAGCAGCCATGTTCTCCCTCCTCTCCTGGTTGCCCCACTTCCCCGCCCTGGAGTGGGGCTCTGACCTCCTCAACTCCCTCCTGCAAGGTGAGGTGTCCCTGCTGGGGAGTCCCGACTCTGGAGTGTCCCCGCCCCTCCGCTGCTCCTCCTCTCACCAAACCTGCATCCTTCCTCCCTCCCCGGCAGGCCTCCTCGGCGCCTGTGGCATCTCCGTCCTCAGCAACCTCCTGAAGGTCTACTTCTTCGTGGGCTGCGTCAAGTGAGTGCCCCACCCAGCCAGCCTCTGCCACCACCCGGTTCACTGGGCTCTCTCTGAGGGGAGGGAGGGGAGAAGACGTCCCCCACCCCACCCACACCCCCTGACCCCCGCAGCAACCCGAAAAGACGGCTGGAGAAGGAGCGGCTGCGGGCGCAGTGGGCGTCCCTGGAGACAGTGCACCTGGCCGGCCTGGCCCTCATCCTCAGCTTCGTGGGCACGCGGGTGGCTGCCCTGGTGGTGCTTGAGTTCTCCCTCCGGGCCGTGTCCATGCTGCTGTCCCTGGACAAGGTGAGTGGGGCGGCGGGGTGGGGTGCCCCCACCCCCCCGTTCCTGCCAGCACACAGGGACAGGACCCCAGCTGGAGTCTCCGGCGGGCCAAAGCCCCATCTCCACTCAGGGGACACAGCAACAGCTCCTGGGACTGGGCGCCTGCCCAGGCCAGGCCATGCTGGACACTGCACCTGTGTTGTCTCTTACTCTCATAACCGTCAGGAGGGGGATGTCTTGGCGGTATCCCCACATTAGCTGGGGGGAGAGATGTAGTGGTTTGCGGTGGGTCCACCACCAATAAGGTACAGAACCGGGTTCTGAACACACCCAGGCTGGGAATCGCCAGCACCCTGCCCTGGGCAGACGGTCCCAGATAGAAGCAGGGTGGAAAGGAAGCCAACAGGGTCCCCGGAGGGCTGGACCCCAGTGCAGTAGATCTTCAGTGGAAGGGTCCCCAAGTGTCCATCGGGCTCCAGCTCCCTCTGGAGCATCTGTGACCCAGTAGCTGTCTGGGCAGGGAACCGCGTGGTGAGGGGAGCCCCTGAGCCCCCCAACCCCCACGGCAGCCCCCTCTCCGCGCCCCACACAGGGCTCCCTGGGCTCTGAGAAGCTGCAGCTGTACCTGCTGAGCCAGTTCTCGCTGGGCTGCGGGCTCACCTGCGGCCTGAGCTTCCTGCAGGAGGGCGCCCCTCACCGCACACTGAACCTGGCACTGGGCCTGGGGCTGGCCACACTGCTCCACATGGGCGCCCGGCGCCTCCGCCAGCACGTCTGCCGCCTGTACGAGCTGCACAGCAGCCAGAACTACTGCGGCATCTGCCTGGGCCTGCTGTCCGGCGCGCACGTTCTCCCCCGGCTGCTGGGCCGCGCCCTGGCTGTGGCCTTCGCCGTGGGGGACCTGGCGGCCGTGACCCTCATCAACCAGGACTTCGTGACCACCACGGAGGCCGTCCGCTTCTGGACGCCACTCACCATCTGCTACATGCTGCTGGTCATCTACATGCAGGGTGAGGCCGCTGGTGGCCGCTAATGGCAAAGGGGGGGGATGGTCAGGAGGGTGGCGCAGAGAGCAGGGGTGCCAAAGAGACGGGGGGGGGGGGGATGAGCAGGAGCCCCTGAGAGACAGAGGTGAGTACGGAGGAGAGCCTAGAAGTATTCAAATTACTGACGGGGCTGGAGCGATAGTACGGCAGGTAGGGTATTTGCCTTGCTCATGGCTGACCCGGGTTCAATTCCCAGCATCCCATATGGTCCCCTGAGCACGGCCAGGAGTAATTCCTGAGTGCAGAGCCAGGAGGAAACCCTGAGCACCGCCGGGTGTGACCTAAAAAAAAAAAATCAAATAACTGGCAGAATGAAGCTGTTTATCTCCCCATGTCAGTGTGGTTCACTGACGGGGAGCCTGGCTGGTAGGGTGATGAGAAGCTAGAAGTGACCAGGTCAGATGTGGTCTCTAGATGAGCCCCCTGCAGTTGGGGATGGAGTGAAAAGGGTCAGGACAGGGACAGGTGAGGAGCGAGCACAGCAGGTGCTAAGGCCCTGAGGCAGGGGGTGAACTGGGCCATGATTTTGGGTTTGTTTGTTTCGTTTCGTGGGCCACACCTGGAGATGCTCAGGAGTTGCCCCTGGCTCTGCACTCAGGAATCATTCCTGGTGAGGCTTGTAGGACCAAATGGAATGGCCGGGGATCAAACCCAGGGTCGGCCATGTGCTAGTAGGCAAGTGCCTGGATTTCATCCCCAGTGGCACGGCTTGGTCCTCAAAGCACACAGACTGACATCTGAGCACTGCTGGGTGTCACCCCAAAACAACAAATGCAAGAGGGATCAAGGAGATAGTGAAGGGGTTAAGCTGTCTGCTTTACCTCTGGCCGACCCAGGTTCGATCCCCGGCACTCCTGAGCACCACCAGGAGTGATCCCTGAGCACAGACCAGAAGTAACCCCTGAGTGCCACCAGGTGTGGCCCCCCAAAACCCCAAACCAAACAGATCAGAGTTGGAGGAGCGGTGGGGCCTGGAGCAATAGTTCAGTGGGTAGGGCGTTTGCCCTGCACGAGGTCAACCCTGCTTCGACCCCCGGCATCCCATATAGTCCCAGAAGCACCGCCAGGAGTGATTCCTGGGTGAAGAGCCAGGAGTAACCCCTGTGCATTGCCGGGTGTGACCCAAAAAGCCCCCCCCAAGAAAATCAGGGTGGCTCATGGGGGTGACCGGATGTGTTCCAGTGGACATCTACTTAGTGACAAACACTGGGGGCTCAAAGGTGGGGACGGGAAGCAGGACACCTGAGCCCGAAGGCTTAGGAGGGGCACCCCGGAGGGGGACTGAGGGAAAGGCCTGGGACCCCTCGGGTGCTCAGAGCAGGGGTGCCAGGAGAGACAGCGAGTCTCCCCAGGCCCGGCCCCGGGGTGGGAGGGGGCTGCCAGTGACGGCCCCCGCCCCCGCAGAGGAGGAGCGCCGGAACCCCGGCATGCAGGGCCAGGTGCAGACAGTGCTGATGCGCATGGGCGGACTCTCCGTGCTGCTGCTGACCGTGGGCCGCTGGCTGGACCTGATGAGCCTCTTCATCTGCCTGTTCGGCGAGATCTGGTGCCTGATGGGCGTCCGCACCCTCCTCGACCTCTGCCACGTCCAGGTGGGCAACTTCCTCCCGGCCCATCCCTGCGCGGGTACCAGAGCCCCAGCCGGCCTGGAGTCTGTACAGACCCTTTAGGCCGAGTCAGGGGGCCGGCCGCGGGGCGGGTTGGGGGGGAAGCAGGAAGGGGGTATGGCTCACGAGGAAGAGCTTGGACTCTGGCTTCCCAGGAGACTCCGGGCTCCATCCCTGGCACCCAAGGGCCCTTGGAGAAGCCCCCACGGCAATGGGATGGGGGAGGAAGGAAAGGAGGACAGCTGGGGTGGCCTCTTGGGAGGGACAGGTAGCTGAACCCCACTCCCCTGGGGTTAACCTTTGTCCCTCTAAGCTGGAGTGGAAAGGTTGAGGAGTACCTCACGGCCTATCCATGGCCCACCCCATCCCATGCCCCTGAGGCCCACCCCAGGCTGGTTGAGTGGGGGTCTTCTTCTCCTTCTCCCCTGCTCTCAGGATTTCCTATCCCGGAGGCCTTCCGCGCCAGCTGTCAGCCCACCGCGGGACCCTGCACAGGCCCAGCCAGACCAGCCACAGAAGGCAGACCCATCCTGAGCACCCCCTGTTCCCCGGCCGAAGCCCCATCCTGAGCCCCATCCTGAGCGCGCTCCACCAGGCCTTGTCCTGTCTCTGCTTCCCACAGTCCCAGCTACAGGCCTTGACCTCAGGCCACTGGCTGGGGACAACCACGGCAGGGCTGGCCCCTGTCTAGGCCTAGGGTTGAACTCTGGGGGGGGGGGGGGAAGAGAAAGGAGGGCTCCCATCCGGGACCCTCAGGAGGAGGGGAGCACACTGGGTCAGCCCCTCTTTCTCTGCCGGTGGACAATGGATGCGGGTCAGACCTGCTCTCTTGAAGCTGGAGGGCACGGTGGGGGTGGGGGGGTGGGGGGGTCCTCCCCTTCCCGGCCCCTTCCCCCTCCCCGTGGACAATAAAGATAATTTTCTCAGCCTGTGTTAAGTCAGAATACACTGGGGGGTGGCTTGGCTTGGCTGGGGTCACACCAGCCCTGGTGGAGGTTTTCTCCTGGGTTTGTGGGGGGTAGGGTCCCCTAGTGGACGGGGCTCCTTGTAGATGGAGAAAAACGGAGCTGGGGAAGTTTGAGGTAGAGGGTTCTAGGGACCTGGGATGGGGGTGGCTACATGGCCCAGTTGGGGATTGAAGCCAGGCCAGCTGTGTGCAAGGCAAGTGCCCTGATCACTGTGCTGTCGCTCTGGGGAAACAAATTCTTGTTTCTTTTGTTTTTTGGGGTTTTTGTTTTGCCTTTTTAGGTCACACTGGCGATGCTCAGGGCTTACTTAGGAATTACTCCTGGCGTTGGGGGGACCCTCTGGGATGGCAGGGATTGAACCCAGCTTGGCTGTGTGCAAGGTGAGCTCCTGCCCCTTCTTGTTTCTTGTTAGCATCAGAGAGAGGGGACTGTTCTTTCTGATCACAGAGTGAGGTTCTGATCTGAGAGGTAACAGCAGCTCAGGGGCACACAGAGGCAAGTCAGGTTCAAGTTCAGACTTTGAGAGTACCTGGTGGCCTGATCCCACCTCCAGGGCTGGGAAATACTCCCTGCTCTCTCTTCCTGAGGCAAAATTAAGTCCAGGAGAGCTGGAGCAATAGTACAGTGGGCAAAAGGCTTACCTTGTGACAAAAATTAATTAATTAATTTATTTATTTTGCTTTTTGGGTCACACCCAGCAATGCTCAGAGGTTACTCCTGGCTCTGCTATCAGGAATCACTCCTGGCAGTGCTCGGGGGACCATATGGGATGCTGGGAATCGAACCCGGGTTGGCTGCGTGCAAGGCATTTGCTAAAGGCATTGGGCCTTTCCTACCCGCTGTACTATCACTCCATCCCCCTAATTAAATTTTTTAAAAAAAGAATCATAAACCTAATTTTGAAAATAGGGACTTGGGCATATAAAAGGGCTTAAATTGAAAAATAGAACTGCTCTGTATATGTTTTTGTTTCTGATGGAGGGCCACACACAGCAGTGATCAGGTCTTAGTGGTTCAGTAATTACTCCTGACAGTGCTCGGGAGTCCTTGTGGGATTCTGGGTCTACCACATGCAAGGTACTCTGGTGGCTGCAATGGTACAGTGAGTAGAGCACTTGCCTTGCATGTGGCCAAGGTGGGTTTGATTTCCAGTATCCTATATGTTTCCTTGAGCCTGCAGGAGGGATCTCTAAGCAAGTACCGGGATAGGAGTAAGCCATGAGCGCTGCCAGGTATGGCCCCAAAACAAAAAAAAAACAAAAGAAGGTGCAATGGCGGTGGGATTGGTGTTTGAATATTAAATGTAATGAATTATTGTGAACAAATTTATAAAAATAAAATTTAGGGAAAAAAGTAAAAAAAAAAAAATACTGACCCAGGTCAAAACAAGAACAGTTAAGTCCAGAGAATAAATCAAACCTGCTGGGCCTTTTCTGGAAGGTTCCCAATGTAGTTCCAGCCCTTTTCTTGACTTACTTTTTTGTTTTTGTTTTTGGGGGTGCTTCCCGAGTGGTGCGTGGGGGGCCCTCCCAACCAAACCAGGCATTAGCCGAGCAACCCTGGGGGAGGTTGGGGTCTGCAGGGCTGCAGTCACTGTGCTCAGGGGATTGTATGTGATGTCGGGGGGTTGAAATGGGGTTGGCTGCATGCAACAAACACCCGAACCCCTGTACTGCCCCACCCTGCCACCTTTTGAGTTATTTTTGTTTGGGGGCCACATGCGGCAGTGCTCGGGGATCACTCACTCCTGGTGATGTTCAGGGGACCAGTTGGGATACCAGGGACTGAAACCAGGTCGGTATTGTACAAGGCAAGCACCCTCCCCGCTGTGTTGTCACTCCGGCTACTGCCCCTATCCTGCTGCCACTACCACAGTCCCCCACCAGGCACACAGCCCGACGGGGTGTTTGGTTCCATGGGCACCTAGGACCCAGCTCAAGGATTTTCCCCACAGAAGCCACGCCAAGGGGCAAAGGAAGCTTCTTCCAGCCAGGGGGCTTCTAAGAGGTTGTGGGGAGAGGCTGGGTGGGGGCTGCAGGGAAAGGGGGGAGCAGAGGTTCAGGGAAAGATCTGGAGGGATTCCAGCTACTGGAGGGTCCCTGCCCACAGCAGAGCCTGGTCTGGGGTTTTCCTCTCCCCACCCTAGGGTGCTTCAAGGGTTACAAGGTACAAGCCTGCCCTGTACCTTGGGACCTGGGCAGGCTCCAGGCCCCTGGGAAGCAGAGACGGGGCTAGACCCACACAGACCCACCCACCTCTGTCTGCCAGGGTGCTCCATTGCCCCTGGGCAGAAAATGTCCCAGTCTAGGAGGAAATTTGCATTAGGTGGGCAGAGGGCCAGCCCCCTGCTAGCCCCAGACTCTTGCACCACTGATATTTGTGCTGGAAGGTGCCCGGGGCACCCCAGTGGCCCACTGGGACCTGTTGGGGACAGGCTGAGGGGACAGCCTGCGCCTTTCCTTTTTATGGTCACACAGACGTCTTTCCAAACAAAAGTCGGACCATGTGGGCTGGAATGAGATTCTTTTCTTATCTATTAAATTATTTTTGTGGAAAGTCAGACAAGGGGATAAAAATTAGATTCGCCTGAGTGAGGCAGTCGGCGAAGCTTCAGTTCCAACCTAGAGACTGGGTGGACAGTGTGGGCAGGGGGAGGGGCCACAGTCCAAGCTCCTTGCAAGCAACTGAGGGAGTCCCAGTCCTGAAGAGGGGGACACCAGGAGCCACTAGGCCCAAGGGCAGTGACCTCTGGGAGAGATGGGGCAGGGGCAGACACCTCTCCCCTCCAGGGCCCCGTATTTCTGGGGCCAGAGAGACTGTACAGTGGTCAGCCATTTGCAGCTCCTGGTTTGATCCCCGGCACCATATCCGGTCCCTGGCAGGAGTGAGCCCTGAGCACCGCTCCAGGAAGCCCCAAACAGTAGCAAAAAAAAAAAAAAAAATCCAGAAAAACAAAGCCACCTCTCACACACACTTGCCTTCCTGGGTTCTGGAGTGGAACTGGCAAGTAGGCGTCCTGCCTGCTGTCTGCATGGGGCAGCCCAGGGCTGGGCAGGCAGGACACACATTGCAGCTGTGCCATGCAGAGGGTGAGGATGCATTTGTGATCACCACCCGGAGACTGAGCAACTGGCAACAAGCTCTTGGGCCTGGAGACGTCGTGGCTCAATGGTTAAGCTCCTGCCCCACATGGGTGAGGTCCTGAGTTCAATCCCTGGTATCACGCCATACCACCGCCAGCCCCCACGATGCAACCCCAGCTCTGCCGCCACACCAGACAGATCCAGTGAACTTTTGGCTGGCGACCCGGCAAAGTGAAGGTGCATGCAAGCAACTGACCTGGTTCCGTCTCAGCACCACCTCATGCCCCTTATCCCAGCACTGCAGAGGCTGAGTAGCACCATGTCCTCAGACCCTCTTGACCTGGAGAACGGGCCTGAGTCCTCAAGCACCTCTTGGGAAAGGCACTCCGCAAAACCAAACCAAAAGAAAACAGGCTGGAGAGATAGCACAGCGGCCAGGGAACTTGCCTGGCAAGTGGCTGACTTGCATTTGATCCCTGGCACCACCTAAGTGCCACCAAGAGTGATCCCTGAGCACAGAGCCAGGAGCAAATCCTAAGGACCACCAGGTATGACCCCCCAAAACCACAGGGTTTTTGTGTGTGTGTATATTTTCGTGTCACACCCGGAGATGCACAGGGGTTACTCCTGGCTCTGCACTCAGGAATCACTCCTGGCGGTGCTCAGGGGACCATATGAGATGCTGGGAATCAAACCTGGGTCGGCCACGTGCAAGGCAAATGCCCTACTCACTGTGCTATTGCTCCAGCCCCAGAACCACAGATTTTTACATCTTGGCTTTTTTTTCAGAAGGCTGAGGAAGGGAGCAGCTGCCCTGGGTCACCGGCTCAGGGTTTCTCCCAGGCCACAGTCGAGGCCCCTGTGTCGCCTCCTGTGGTTGTGGGCAGGATTCAGGGTCCCCGTGGCTGCGGGGCCTACGTTCCCTTTTGGCTTTGCTGGGCAGTTCCCTCAGCTCCTGGTTCTCCTCAGGGCAGCTCCAGCCAGCAGCTGACTTCCCTCCTCATCAGCCGGGCAGGAGTCGTGCTGACAGACGCCTCAGCCTTGGCCCAAGAAGGAGCTCAGAAACAGAGCACAAATTTCCCCACCAGGGGCTCTGGCTTCCATCCCCAGCCACGTGCAAGAAATGCACAACACTGGAAATTCCTCTGTGCCACAAAGAGGATGAGGGTGCATTTGTGATCACCACCCAGGACACTGAGCAGCTGACAACAGGCTTTTGAGGATGTAGACATGATAGTACAGCGGGCAGGGAGCTTGGCTTACACACGGCTGAGCCAGGTTTCATCCCCGGCACCACCATGGGTCCCCCGAGACAGCCAGGAGTGATCCCTGAGTCCAGAGCCAAGTGTAAGTCCTAAGCACCACCACGAGTGGCAAAAAAAAAAAAAAAGAACCCTGCAGTGGGCCATCCCCTGCCCCCTGGGTCAGGAGGGTGCAGCTGGGTTACACAGGGCTCAGCTGGCAAGACCAGAAGTCTCGGGAGACACCTTCAAAGCTACCTTCTACTCAGGGCTTCCTCACGAAACGGACTGAGGAGCAAGGCAAGCCAACGTGGAGGCAGGAACGTCTGAGGCCGAGACGGCCGCAAGGTAGGCCTGAGCTGGGAGAATTCTAGAACAGCAGGAAACTTCCCGTGTCTGG